TATATATATATATAATTAATTTAATATTTATTTAATGTTGCATTTTAGTAATATTTTAATAAGTATTGTTAAATTAGTGTTAATTATTGTTAAACTTCTCCATTATTTTAAAACAAATTTAAAAAATGTTTTATTCTTTATATATTATTAAGCCATTAGTATTAAAGTACCTTTTTACTATTTTATGTACCATCAATTTGCCAGTTTTATTTTTTTCATCAGTTCATTATTTTCAAATGCTTTCTAATTAAAAGAAATATTTTAATCTAAAATATTTTAATTTAAATTTGTATTGATTTAATGCATAAAAAATCAAAACAGAAATATTTATCTAAAATTTTTTTTTTAATACTAAGGTTATAAATTGCATAGTTCTAAATAAGGAAATTGATGTGTAAATTATTGTTGAAATATGACATTTTCATATTATAAGCAAAAAACCTTTTTCTTACCTATTTATGAAATAAATTTGATACGTTGTGTGCCTGTTTATAAAATGGAGTTTTAAAGTAATATGTAAGCATATTAATAACACATGACACCTTTTATCATGTTAGTATATGTAGCAGGGTTTAAGCTGAGTCTAAAAATTCATTAGCAAAAAAGCTAAAATCTGAAAAAAAGTTTTAGCAAAATTCTAAAATGCCATTAGGCTTATAAAATTACTTTATATCAAACAAGTACTGTAAGTTGAATATCAAAAAGAATACCTATAACAAAAAAAAACACATTTATTATTTATCAAAACATTTTGGTTTATATATTTTGGTTTTCGTGAACGCTAGCGTCATGGTTCTTCTTGCGAAAGATATTTAGATTTTTTCTCCTTCTTGTTTGATCAAGTTTTTTTCATGGATGTTAGCGTCATGGTTTTTCGCGGAAGCTTTTTTTTTTAATGGAATTTAGTAAAATCCTTTAGCAAAAATGCGAAAATGCTTTGTTGAATTTTAGCATTTTTGAGGGGTCTTTTCGCATTTTGCGAAAAAAGCTACCGTAGCGGAAACCCTGATATGTAGTTACTTGTTATTAGAGGTGCAAGTGAAGTAATGATTTAGATTAAAAAATAAAAAAAAAAAAAAATAAAAAAATATGAACGGTTTAAACCTAGAAAACCGTACTTTTAAAGTTTAACTATTCAAGCTAATGGCTTCTCAGTGCATCATTATGCTTACATAAAATGCGTTTAACAATTTAACATATGTTACAATTTTAACATATGTTTCTTCAGAACAAATTAATATGATTTGTAAGACATTTTCTTAAAAACTCATGATTTGCTGGAGCCTTTTTTTTTTTTTTTTAAATTTTTTCCTCGTCTCAATCTTATTTTAATTATTATAGAATGTTGTAGAAAAAAGAGTAGAGAAATTTTTTTCAAGCAACCACTATCCAAGAGAAGTTTTATATTTTATTTCATTGGTAAGTATCCGAGAAATGTATTACCTAATTTTCGGATTTTCCTCATCAATATCAGATTTTCACCCGAGTTTCTATGTTGTTGTTGTTGTTAATTTACGTCGCACTAGAGCTGCACAATGGGCTATTGGCATATATGGCAGTACTTTTACTTTCGTTACTTGTACCGCCGGTACAAGTAAAAAGTACGTACTTTATCCTAATTCTCGTTACTTTTTAAATTTAGTACTTTTACTTGTACTTTCGTTACTTTTTTAGGGAAAAAGTATGACCTAATAGTGAAACAGTTTGAAATACTTGTACTTTTTCCCTA